TGACAGATGAGGATTGAAATGGGGCAAGGTTTCTGTTGTCAAACAGGCTCAGCTGCTCCCTTTGACAGCAAAGCTCGCAAGAAAAGCATCAGTCATGGTCCTCAGCAGTGTTGCACGTACTTTAACGTGCTTGTGAACACATAAATACACACACTCGTGCACCTCGTTTTCCCTTTAAGAGCCTGTGTTGGTTTCCATATTTGGAAAAAAGGGGGCGTGTCCTATCTGTGAGGACCCTCCCCCATTCAAGGGCACTCGGAGTGCAGCCGAAGAGAAAGATGCATTGAAAACACACATTCACTCGCATTCCATCAAACACTCAGATGCACTGATGCAACCCTGACACGAGCACATACCAGCGCCTGTTTTGATGTCTGTATGACAACTCCGGGGTTTTCAGCCTCGGCATGTGAAACGCTGTCTAACACATGTCTTGTTTTTCTAGGCCTCTCAAAGTGACACCAGCTGTGTTTTGGGGGGGGGGTGGGGGGGTTTACCCGTCAGCCCAAAACAATCGCAGCCTTCAAAACGCTGAAGAGCTTCAGTTTGACTCAACCGACCCAAAACCTCCTTGACAAAATCGGTTAGTCGCAGTTTTAAATAACCAGCTTGAAATATGGACAACAAGGTGCGAGGCAGCTCCTGTCTGGGGAGGGGGCAGAACAAAAGGAGGAGGAGAGGCTGAGGAAGGAAAGGAAAGGAAAGTGTGTGTTTAAATTAAAGAGGCATGGCCGCTGTGTGTTGGCATCTGTGTCTACTGGCAAGTGTGCACAAATGTGTATCGTGTGTTTTTGTTTCAGTGTGTTTACGAGGTGCATATCTGACGTGAACATCAGGAACGCTCCATTACACCCACAGCTAGTATCTACAAAGAAATTACAAACAATAGTACGAAGCTGACTTTTTCAAATCCATTTAAATTTTGTGATGCAGTCTACCGTAAAGTTTAAGTCAGTTCGTATCCTTAACAAGGTAGAATTATTGGTATCTTAATGAGGTGCCCTTATTTTTCTGTCCTGTCTGTTTTACTGCTTTTCTTCCACCAAAACAGGAACTGTGAAAAAGATTCTAAACCCACTAACATTATCTCACACCCAGATTTCACCCTCATTGCATAGAAAGCTCATGCAGGTTGTTTCCTACCCAGAGTGTGGTTTCTTTGTATTTACATTTCTCATCTGGTGAGATGAACTCTCCCTCGAAGGGGATGTTTGACCAGCTGTGTGTTAATAAATAAGCTCCCTGAGCTGAGCATAAGCATTTTGCTTGACTGCCTGGGGGAACCTGTGACTGCATGTGTGCACATTTGTACTTTGTTCATTTTGTCATCTAAGCAAACTAGCTGGATCTATTTGACCAATAAAAACAGATTGGTGGGATTGTACAATTCTATGCTTAACTTAGTAGGTGTGAAGCGATACGATGGCGTCTAGACAGACAGACTTGACATTCAAGGTTAAATAAAATAGCAGCTTGCAGTGCAAACAGAAGCAAATGCGTAAATGCGGAGCTATGCAGGAGTGTTCAATGACTCTGATTCAGCCACTCAAAAGAAGATCAGACTGAAGGCAGAGACTCCACAACAACAAAGAGCTGAAGGTGATGAAGAGAGTTCACCAGGGAAGACACCACAACTTCATATTTACATAAACCGACTGAATTAAAGATGAGAGCTGGCACGTTAATGCAGAATCAAGTATGGTGTATTTAAAGCACAGAGCAAAGAAAAAACTGTCTAAATTACTACTGGACTGCAGATATACACTCACCAGCCATTTTATTAGGTACACCTGTGAAATCCAATGCAATCCAAAATAACAGCTCTGCTATGAACCTACTGTTACATAGCTCTTTTGTAAAATGAACATTTTCGGTTTTGCTGATGTAAAAAATAAAAGGCGATCATTCTACTTTAAGGTCATTTTTTAAATGTGTGCTTATGGACTGGACTATTAGATATATTAGAATCACTTCTAAATGTAATGCAGTCCGGTACAGCACCACCACACATAAATACGGCAGAATCAGAACGCTTTTGTCAACACAAACTCAAAGTGTTTGTTTGAAAAAGTCAGTTCAGCTGTGTGAAAGCAGAATTTGTGACGGGGCAGTTGCATCGGCTTGCATCAGATTGCACAGGCTGGTGAAGGGTGTAAACCTACTGTATATAGAGTATTACACTTCAGCAAATAGACGCCGAAACACATTCCTAAACTAACTTCTGTTTATCAAATACGTCTCTGCATCCAGTTCTGCAATCACGTATACTAGTCATTTTTTTTTAATCCAATATACAGCAGCACTGTGAGATGATTTGATTCTGCAAGTGTGGAAACTTTCCCTTCTAATGGGACGCTATGAATACATTTCCTCACATAGATAATTAAAGTTCGACACCAATCCATCCATACGAGTTAACCATTATTTTCCGATGCGTATATTTACCCGGCGATCTCCATCTTCCCCCTCATGACATCTAAGCATTACTGTTACTGTTCCCTGATCTAATATTTAATCCTTGTGCTGACAGTAGTGGGAGTCTTCTCTGTGATTCTCATCTGGTCAGGAGGGTGTAGACAACTCAGTAGTTTGCTCACTTTTGCTGAGTGAAGAAGAGAAGGAGTTGGGATTGATATGCACAAGAAGACAGGCGAGGAGCAGAGTGCAATGGGAAGAAATGAAACTGCAGAGATGGGGAGGAGTGTGGCACCCTGAGTCTTGGTGACAGGCTGGGCCAGCTCAGCGGATGGAATGTTCCAGAGAAATATGTTGCCTATTCATGGAAGACAGGAAATAAAGCTCTCTCTCTCTCTCCCCACCTCTCCTCTTTTCGCCCCTGTCCTCAATCCTTCACTCCAAATTCAGCTGCATGTCTTCTTTTTTTTTCACCTCTCTCTCACTCTTCACCTCACTCTCCATGTCTGTTTTTTTTTTTCCTCCCATCCCCTGTTCTGGCCTTTGGGTGCTTCTTTCTGCCCATCGTCTTTCAGTTTAAATCAATTCCCTTTTTCCCTTTCATGCTTGGGAAACTCGCACAGCATGATGGTGTTGCACCGCTCTGACTGGTAGCGGCTGAATGTAGCCCAGCCTGCCATCTGGGTAGTGAAAGGAGAACAAAAACAGCACTTTTTTTTTTTTTCTTTTGCTGTGCAGTGCACTAATACCTAACCGGTATACTGTCACTATATAACCAGCTAATCTGACTAATGATTGGCGATGAGCCAAAGTGGATAGTGGAGAGGATTATGATAGCAGTTGGACCTCATTCACGCCCACATTTGTGGGAAGTGTGTGAGCAACAGTAGAATGGGAGAAAAATGAGGAGCCAAAGCACAACAATCTCACAGTGGCCTTCAGGAAAAGTGCAAAACTAAATTAAACTGCATACGTGAACGCCTGTAGACGCACACACACAGAGCGTCTTATCCACTTTGGCAGAGGGGGGTTGTTTCAGAGTAAAGGGCGAAAAGGTCTGGCTAGGGTTAATCCTGAGATCAATCGAACACACACACACACGGGCGCGCACACACACACACACACACACACACACGGTTGTTAAGCAGTGGTTTATAATGAAAAGCCACAAGAGTTGCTTCTCTGAGTTTCAAGCCAGAGTGCAGGACTTCACATATAAATTAACATCCTTTACTCTCACGTCCTTACCAGATATGTTACGCACAATGCTGATTAAGTTTATCTCCTGTATTTTACAGTATGTCAGAGTTTTACATCCGCTTTTTGTTCCTGCTGATGCACCAGCAGCGACGTGTTCAGCGATGATTACCAGAGATATAAAGGGGAGCGACACTAGTCACAGAGATGAAGCAGGCTACAGGCAGACAAACAAAACAAAAAAGTGCCTGATGCTCCAAATAAAAAATAAATTTGCCGTTCAGAGGAGGGATCGCGGTCTAGAAAAGGAAGCGATCGACGTTAGTGGAGTTACACTCACTGTCAGCAGGGGAAGATAAAAGATTTCCGCACTGCAGGTTTAAGACCTAAGATGAAGCGTTGTCCTATACTAACGTGCAACTAGACACTAAACAAGCAACCTACATAAGCTAGACCCGAGTCCAATATGTATTTTCATTCCTTTGTATGAATGCTATCAATGTCTTGAATAACAAGCAAAACATCCTGACTGCTGCATGAACACATTTTCAAAACAAAGCAGTAGAAAAAAAGTGCAATTTGAAGGGTAGAACTGGCCTAGCTATGCTAATACTTGCTAACTGCTATGAGTGCAATAAAAGAACAAGTCAGGACATTACCAGTGTCATCACATCATCACCAGGGGTAGACGCGTCCATCTACTGGATGGATACGTGTTGAGACACTTCATAGGATAAGTGGAAAAATCTGACCCACTTTAAAGTCAGAGATTTACCAAAATCTTAAAATGGACACTTTGAGAACCAAGTCACAATATCTGTTTCCAGTAACTGCCATTGGATATTTCAGTTTGAACCACAGTGGTGGACCAACTAACGAGCATTCCCATCCCTGGAGTCATCCTGCCAGCAGGGCTAAAGAGAGACTCTAGTTTAGGAAGCTCAACATACTTCATACTCTAATTACTTCATCGTCTTCCTCCGACCTCTACAGTCAGTGCACCTGAGACAACAAGTGATTATATTCATTATGATCCTCCCGAGATCATTATGTAAATCGCCACCAGCATGATGTTCCCCTTTATGTCACCTAAACACCGTCTTTTAGCTTAACCTTGATGGTACAAATGATTCTCACACACTGTGGGGCTGGTCTTGTGAAGCAGCTTGACACTGGACCTCCACCATACAGGAGCAACTCAGAGTCTGTTCAGCTCGTGGCCGGCCGGACCTTTCCTGCATGTCATTGCTTTTGCTCTCTTTCCCTGCATCTCTCTGCTGCAGCCCAACTCGTGCTTGCCGTCTCTGCGTTGCATCAGGCCGCAAACCAATCTGATCCTGCCAAGGACTCCAGATCACTGCAGTTTGGACCAAAAAAANGACAGCAGCCTCTTTTTGGCCGGCCAGTGGCCTCCAGAGAACAGACGGTGGCCGTTGCTGCTGGGAGTTTTCTCCCAGGAAGCCAGGCCATTAGAAGAGGAGGAGGAGGAGGCCGCCTGGGTGGCACTTCGCTCCGGTGGGGAGGATTCGAGTCCAGCGTCCCATTCGGTGGCCTCCCCTGGTTCCTGCAGCTCGGTGTGGTGTGGCGGGGAGAAGGGACCTGGAGGACTGGTGGGGCTGGCAGGGTTGGGAGTTTCATATGTGGACATTTCATACAAGTGGGGGCTGGGCTGGCCGCCAGAGGAGCCATTACTACAGCTGTCGTTTCCAGGGCTGCCTAGCGAGTGTGTTGGTGTGCGGGCTCCACTGGGGGGCTCGATCCGGGCTGAGCTTCCTAGGGAATGGCCCTGGTCACAGAGATGGCCATGCGGGTCACACATTGGGGGGGATTTAGGTGAGAGTGGAGCAAACACATCAGGAATGGGCCTATCGTGATTGTGCTGAGCTGGGCGTCGGGAGGGGTTGTGGCTCGGGGAGAGGGGAGGAGACCTGGGTGACAGTCCCCCCTCAGAGTCTCTGTGCTCCATCTGTATGCAAGAGTATAAGGAACCAGGCCCACCAGACCCGACTGCTGAGCCCATCCCAACACCTTGAGCTGGGGCTGGCCCACACAACACCCCTCCCTCCAGCGGATCCCTGTCTGGGGAGTCCCCCAGATGGGGGCGCTTATGAGTCAGCTGAGGCTCCTCTAACCCCCTTTTCACACCCATACGGACAGGCCTTTGTTGGGCATCAGTGTGGGATTCTGTGGAGGTAGAAAATCCCCCCAACTGGGAGAAAATGGAGAGCTGGTAGACCTTTTGGAGCCGCAACTCCTCCTGGCCAAAGTGCCTGGCCACCCCTGGTCTCATCCCAGGGTCTAGCCCCTGTGTGGGGGACGTAGGTGGAGGCAGGTCCCCCTCCTGTGCTGGAAGCTCTAGTGGAGCCTTTTTGTGGGCCAACTCCACGTGAATGTGCCGCATGGTTTCGCTGCTGGAGGATAAAAGTCTACACTAACTTTTGTGCAACGGGGTTAAGTAGGTCCTCACAAGTGCCGCGAGGCAGAGCGAGATGTTCCACAGGAATAGGAAGTCCTATGGTTCCTGCTGTGATGTTGACAAACAGTGTGAATCAGGAAGCTGAGCAGCACAGCACCTGAGAGGAACAAAACACAGAATTACTTCTCGGGACATGTTTTAATAAAGCAATTAATAATGGGAAAAAAAACGACAAAGTATTGAACGTCCTGGATGTGAACACTGATGTCTGTCATTTAGGGTCTAACCAACACTTCTGTTGTTCTTCTCATTCTGTTCACAGATTTTCTGTCTTCTACACACAGCGAAGCATCAACTTACTGCCATAAACAAACAATTTCATTAAGCAATAAAACACATCCATTATAACAGTGTGTCACTTCACTTCTCTCGCTTCTGGTTCATGTAAGATGATGGTGCTCAATTCATCCATTTGTCATTTGAAACATAGAACTATGTTATGAAAAAAAAATGCCAACTTCATTGACAGATCAGGTTGAGGTGCTGCATCCCTTTTAACTGTTTCCTTTAGTGTGATCACAAAGGAATGGCATGCTTCTGATGGCTGGGCTTGACACACTACCTTAAACTTAAAGGCTATGAGGTCATGACTTCACTATGTCACTGTACTATGTGGACAAGTTGCAGACAGTAAACCTTGTTTGCACTGAGAACCAAAGAGGAAACCAGGTACTTCTAAACCACGTGAAACTACAGCATGTGCTTTGCATTAATGAGACACAAAATGCAATTTAGGCAAGACATGAACCAAATCTGTCTGATTGAATAATAGATGTCCAAGATCAACATCTTACCTCTGTGCCCTTCCTTGTCTAATTCTGCCCGTGTGGACAAGCTGTATCTGGCACAACATCTGAAAGCTGTGTCCAAAATGGCCTACTAAAGGAACCCGTCGATCTCCATGGCAGCTGCCACGAAACAACGGCAACATCCCAAGACAGGTAATCAGGAAACAGCGAGGACTCCAGAGGGAGCAGCAGTAAAGGAGGTGGGTTCAAGAGCTAATACCTGAGGGGAGATAAAAAGTGAGCAGTATTGTCAGAGACAAAAACAAATACAAAAAAAATGACTTACATGAATATAGATGTTATAGATGCCATTTAAAATGAGTATTTTCTGTTTAACCCTCTGAACTCCAAACAGCAGTGGTGGGTTTGAAAAGCACGTTGTCTTTACAAAGTCATCAAAATGATGCCGTTTACCAGAGCAGCACAGTGGAAACCATCAGGTCTGGAGCTTTCCAGCAGCCCTTAAAGTAATCATCTGTCATTTAAACTTCATCAAATGTAAGCTTGACATCATACTTCATAAAAATCACTTTATTCTACAGCTGACATTTATAATTTTGCCAAAAAATAAATGTTTTGCTCGAACCAGATTCCATTAAAAAAAAATTCGTGTAACTTGAAAGGCATCAGTGCCTCGGCTACAACCAGCAGTCACACGACAAATATTAGGACCAGTTCAGCTGAACTGGGCTGAACTCCAGGTTGTGTTTACACAGGACAGGACCAAAGTATGGAAAGTAAATAAAAATGTAAACATGTTTAATATGCAGAGTGACATTTTTTAACAGTATTAGTGATATCTGTGAGAACAAAATATTGTCCAGGTTTTAAAGTAAATTTAACTTTTGTTTTGTTTTTTTGATAATTTCTGACACTGTCACTCTCTTATACGGCATAAGAGGCGTTTTTTGAGTTTTCTCTAACTGGCTGTAGTTGTTCTCTTTACATAGAGGAGGTGCAGGACTTTAGATTGCCGTCACAAATGATTAATGTGACAACAGCAGAAAACGTCCAGAAACTGTTTGGGGTTCAGATGCACCAGGACATTTAACTCTCAGCTGCATTCTTGTTTTGTATTTTTAATAAAAGAAGTTAGCTAAGGGAACGACTTTCTGAGCACACCTTAAAGGCACGATGCTCGTTGGTTCAAGAAAGACGCAGTACGGATTGATCAAGGCTGAAACTTACCACAAGGGCGGAGTGTCAGTGGTGCAGGAGGCTCTTGAGTGGAAATGTCTCTGAATCCAAGTTGGTAGTAACTCTATGGGGGCTCCCCCTGTGGTTGGCTGATAGCCAGACACGCCCTCCTTGGTCACCTAGGCATGGTGTGTGGCACGGCCGTGGCATCATGATCGGGTCATTCCACCCAGAATCCCTGAAGAGATGAAGGAGAAGACCGAAACAAATCAGATCAGTGAGTCCCTTTTTTTATTTCGCCACCAACGGTTAAGCTTCAAAGACCGCTGCTGCTACATCACACAGACAGATTGTGACGGACAGACCCGCTGATGTGCGCACACAATTAAGCTAGAACATGTCCTCGTGGCTGTGCATACTTAAAGAGACACAGATGGCAGATAAAGGCACACATACTGATAGGAAATCATTATTTAAGTCTGAACAACCAAAACAACACATCAATCAAATAACAAGTCTCTTGGCAGTTTACCGCACGTAGTCAACAAGTCGACTAACGGAAGATGATATCACTGACATGAACCACGACCAAGACACCACAATTCAAACACAAATCCCCCAACGCTCCGAGTTGGGGATCAGACATGGAGGAGTCACTCGTGGAGCTAACTTGGCACCAAACAGCGCTAGGCCAAGAGAAGCGGGCCGTTTCCCAACCCACTTGGACCAGAATTTGGGAATGTGGGAGGGGGTCGCAGTGAGCTGTCACCGTGGCAACCAGTAGCCCAAGGATAACAGCTCCTTTGTGCTTGGCCACAAAGAGGGAGAAAGAGAAGCTGAGCCAGAGGGAGAGAGAGAGAGAGAGAGGGAGAGGGTAGATGGTGGGGGATGCTGGGGGGCAGGGGGAGACCAGTAAAGATGCTCCTCAAAAAAAAAAACTACAAACAGAACAAAATGGCTGTCCTCCATGAGACGTGTAAAGCCCGGCAAGACATTTCAACACACTGTGATGGATGCCTGAAGCGGGCAAAAGAATCTGAAGTGCTCAGATATTTCATCCAAAGCTTGACATTAAAGAGCGCTAATCTGACTCTGAACATATGGCTGGCACCCATATATCAATAAATAAGAGATAAGTTCTCATTAGGGCCCGCTTTGCTGCAACCAGCTACTTCACTGTTTTGTCATTTCCTTCATGATGAAACAGCAATGACGCACAGTGTGATCTGTCATGAACATGGAAGTGGTGACATCGTCCTATGTAATGTAAGTAACGTGTATTTTGCACCAGACTGAAACTGAGGTGTCATGTATCCACTGCAAGAGATGTTGAATAAAATCCCCAGATTGCTATAAAAAAATGTAATAATCAGACGAGCTGCACTCTGGCTGACCCGCAGCAGGTGACTTTTTTTAAACACTTAGCTTGAAAAATAGTGTTTGTAAGAGCATATATTGAATTTCATGTCTCTCCCAAGACAAATTCCCCATTCAGTCAGGACAATACAGTCTTCAGCTTCAATGAGAAGGAAGAGATCGTCTGTCAAAGATGACACAAGAATAAAAGGGATCCAGACAGACGGACATAAAAGGGGAAACAGCAACAGACTGAACCTCAACCCCCGCCCGTCTTGTCATTTGACTACATGCAACAGCTGATTTAATGGCATATCATCAGGTGATTGTGCCGTCTTAGCGCTGCATATACAAAGAATCACATGAAGATGATGTCGGGAGTGAAGCCTTTGTCACCTGTAATTACTCACATGACATATGGGCCCTATGCAGTCGCACAACGCTGCCTCTGGGAAAACCCGGATTTAGCACAAACACATGAGGGCCTCTCCTGTAATTTACAACATCTTAAAGCAGTGCACACGTGCACATAAAAACTGGACAAGTTTAGATATATCTTTTTAAAATCCGCACCACAGAAGATAACAGATAACACCACCAGCATTCAGAGTCCACATGCCATGGAAATAGCTGCTGCTATATTTACCATATCTGCCATATCACTGCTATGTCTTGTTTTCTTACTGGAGTTAGGCAAATATTAACAAGAGGGAACATGGCAATATCAGTTCTGAAAGCACTTAAGGGTCACATATCGACTGCTGCCACAGCCAGGACATTTGCAAGACAAACACTGTTAGCCTGCTGGTTCCATTATTTTGCTGATGTTTCTTGGGGTGGGAGAGACTCAAGTGGCGAACCAGACCTGCCCTGAGCAAACACGGATTTCTGGTTAATGCCATTACCAAGTCAAATGACCGAAAACAGTCAGCTGCATGACTTACATACGCAAGTTCAATCAACACACTGCAAGGAATCACCTCCTCCTCCTGTTTTGCCACTTGCACACCAGGGCAGACACAGGCAGTGGGGGGGTGAGGAGGGATGAGGGAAGAGTCAGCAGGAGTATTTTTAGTAATTGCCTGTGATAGAGCTCGCTAGGAGCACCCAAAGGCTCTGTGCTAGGTCCCACTAGATTTCTGACCTTATTTTGAACTAGCTGAGCAGGAGGCTGGCAGGGGCAACCAAAGCCCTTTTCAGGCTTCATCCAGTAGCCAGCAGAGGAGGAGAAACTCTCTGGCCTCACCCCAAGAAATGCTTCAGGTTGCTGGGTGTGTGCGTGCCAATTCAGCCTTGAGAACATAGGAACTCTATTCCTGCATCGCTGAACATTGTGGTGGTTTTAATACGCTCACACTCACACCTCCCCCTATGACAATGTTCTCATGTTCACCTCTAATCTACTTGTACAATCTGATCTGTGCAAAATGCACATGAGCTGCACATACCTACTGTGTGCTAATCACACGGGCAAAGCAATGACAAAAAAACCACATGTATACAGACGTACTGCCCACAGTACAGCACATGTCGTCTGATATTTGTGTTTTAGGTTCTCAGTTGGATTTGAAATTAGCAAATCTGTAAGCAGCATATTGACCAAACAGCAACTATTCTTATGAGAACGTACTTTTCTCTGCTTCAGTGGACTCAGCTCCTCCTCATTTCCACTTTAAAAGCCATTATCAGTCATTACCGTTCCCGAAAAAATTAACACCCTTGAAATCGGTCCCACAGTTCACTGACTGACCAGTGTTGACAGTAACTAATGAAGACGTTACGCATCATTGACAGGCCAGGTGCAGTCTCCACAGAACATCTGCAGCGCTGCCGAAAACGCGCCGGCAAATCATCATTCAGGAAGAGACACGGCGAGATTGGAAATGTTAGACAGACAATGGAATGAGAAACACCTGACAGGAACCAGCAGAGGAGACAGAGGATGAGGGGAACGGAGAGAGATTACAGCACAGCCAGAGACCTTGAGAAAAGGTATAAATAGAGCCGGAGCACATAGAACCTCACAGCGTATCAGGGCCAGTCCAGAACGTTCATGGGTACAGAACATGAACGAGCAGTTCTGAGACTGAAGCTGTACAAAGTTGAAACCTTGAACTGACATATTTTTAAAATCCTTCTGAGCAAACTGAGCTGAAAATGGCTCATTGCACCCAGCAAAAAAAACAAAAAAAAAAGCTGCAAAAGGGGTTAAATTTACATGACCGTAGCCAGAAAACAGTCTTAAGCAACATTATGAGACTTAGCATTGCAGCTATAATTAAAGGCTGCAAAACATTTTTGGTTGGAAAGAAACCCGCACACATAACTAATAAATTAAGTCAAGCTAATCCTGTTTTACTCGGTCGGTGGCTGGTTTATTTGCATGCAAAAATGAGGGGAAACTACAATGTGTGCGGGTAAAACAATGGGTAACAATGAGAAGAAAAAAAAAAGGCATAGAAACCCAGAGAGATGAAAAGGAACAATAAGGAAGTGCAATAAAAGTATAGTTTGCATTGGCCAAGGTGCAAATCTGAACCACAGAGGGCAGACTGAGACATGTTTTCAAAAAGATTAAGAAAATGAAATTGAATTGAAAAATGCTGAAAATGATTGTCTTAGCTCAGATACCTTTAACACAGCTTGTCAGGTTTTTTGTTGAAGATCCTCTCTGATCTAGCTTCTAAATGTTTTTGCAAACTAAAGCTGAAAGTTCAGTTGGGCATCTCAACCTAAGCCACAGCATCTAAAACACAAACACTCTTATTTACCGTCTTGTACGAGGGCTTCGGTCAAAGGGTTCAATACCTTTGACGTGACACATGCCTGGTGTGGAACTAAAACATTCTGTTCAGAAAATTGCCTTCAAGGAGGATATTTAGCTGCACAGATGTGTCGAAATACGTGCGCGTCTGCATGCTCGTAGGAATGCGTGACAGTCCACACATAAGTACCATTGTGTGTCAGTGTGCGAGCATCCTTTAGGCCAAACAACGCTGTGGTCATGAGGTCAAAGGCCGGCAGACTTGGGTCAGATCACATATAGCACCTCAGAAGGGTTTAATTTCACCGTCGTGAGAGAGGTGGTGTTTGTGATGACGGCAGAAGACTTTAAAATAATGAGCCGCAGCATAATTCCAGGTTGCTTCCACTGCACGGCCTCGACAGGGCCTATGAAACCGAGACGCTCGTCGGTAACTCGAGTGGCAACTGGAGCATCGACACGCTGAGTAAAAACATCTGCAAAACACACAAAAGCACACTTAAGACCCTGTGGCTCCCTGTAAAACCCTGAAAAGCTGCACATGGGTGGAATAAAACACACTCGGACCCACAAAAGTAGAAAGAAACGTGTCATTAGGGGGCATGCTGACAGCTCTGACCTAGAAACCAGCCTCTCAGGAAAATGTATGGAGGTGACAGGGGCAGAGTTCACAGCCAGCACCTATCCTCAGAAAATAGCCTGACATTTGGCCTGTGTGTATTCATCACAATGCCCAAATGTCGCACGCATGTGTGCGCACACAAAGCGCAGCAGTCAAAGAAGCGCCATCCCTTTCTCTGTTTGAGCAGTCATCAAAAGGGGAAACAACACTTCATTTAATAATACGATAACAGCGGCTTTTTGACTTTTTAAATCCCTCATCAGCAGCAGCAGCAATTGCATAATTCAGATTTTTTATTTTTTTTTAAACTTCATGCTCTTTGACTCCACCTTGAGAAACTATCTAGAGGGAAACAGCTGCTCTGTTTACAGCTGTCTGGATTTAGATTTGCCTGCTGCCTTTTGAGTGTCGTGGTGCTATTCCTTCAGCATAACACAAAGATTTTAATCGTATGACATTTTATCCAGGGATGTTTTAAATCCACAACTTTCCATTTCTTTGTTTGCATTCATTCACTGCGATGCAGAGGAAAGTTTGAATCACAAACTTCAATCCAAACTTTGATAGCTCATTCCTCTAGACAATTAACACTGGCTTTACACATGAGTCACTCAGTTACAAAATTAAGACAAATAAGTTGGCTGATAAGTCATTTAAATGTGTTGCAAAACCAGACAGTGAGACACTGATTCCCCCACGCTGATGTCACGTTTGAATGGGGTTAATTTTCCACCCCGGTTATAGATCTGAAACGATTTATTTTTGATCACTGACATTAGCTGTCATCTTGAATGGGCCCTTTTGTGACGTCCCTCGTCTCCTTGTGTCCTCGGTCCCCCCTTCACACCATAACAGAGGCGTGATAGCATCAGCGTGAAGTTAGCGGCCTCCCAAATGCCCCGATTGTCTCATCAAGTTTTAGCAGGTCTCCGCCCGAGCTACTCCCAGGCCTGCCCTGTGCCTGGAGGCTGATAAACACGCTCATGTGTGCATTCTCAAACGCAGAAACTTGCTAGGTGTTCCTTTTAACAATTGGCTGTTGATTAGATTACGGGAGCCCCTGTCCGCAAGGGGATGGAATAACAGCTGACTGTGAGAGCAAGTGTTAAACCAGGACGAGGAAGACAGGAAGTGGCAAAGATAGACAGAAAGTGACAAGAGAAAAAAAAAAGAAGTTGATTGGAAGTGATGAACCCCTGAGCAGGAGAGACGGCGTTCACGGGGGCCGGGGAGTCACGGCGGTCTAAACTAAGCTGGCTCAGTGACATAGTTGCTGAGAATGCTGTTTGACACAGGGTCCCTTTCTGTCTCTCCCTCCCCTCCCTCTGTCCGTCCGTCCGTCTGTATGTTTGCCTGCATATCTGTCCGTCCGCCTTTCATGTGGCCATTTTAGGAGACGTTGAGTCATCCGAGCCCAGCTGACAATATGACAGCAATCAACAGGAGCAACATTAGCGCACTTGACTTGACAGCGTTAGAACTCGTCACACTCACCCTCTGAGAGAGATGGGGTCTATCTCGTTGTGTCACTCTCCCCCTTCCTTCCTTCCTTGCTTCCTTCCTCTATTTCGTCTGGTGTCTCTCTCTCTCTCTCTCTCTGTCCTCCTCTGTTGTTTCTGCTTCCACTGGGTCAGGCTGCCTTCTCTCCTCAGTTTGTTGTCTCTCTCTTTGCTTCCTTCCTCTTGAATAAGTAGTGTTGAGAAAGACAAGTTGCTCTGCCTCCCTCTGCTTGTTTTGTCAGGATGTCCAACAGCCTGCACTGCTGCTCTCTCTCTCTCTCTCTCTCTCTCTGGTGTTCTTCCTGCCTACCTCTCTCCACCCTCGGTCGCACACATACACAAATCAAAAACCCATCAACAACTCTCTTGCCCCGTTGCCTCCCTCTCCTTTTCTCTCTCGAGCCCCCCGCCCCTTCCCACTTTCTTCCGTTCTCTCATTTGCACACCTCCAAAGTGCCTCGAACACAAAAGCACACTTTACATGCTAGAGTTCCCTCTCTCCTGCCATTCCTCCTCTTCCTCACCCTCTCCTCTCCTCTCAGGCTCCTCCTTTCAAACGCTTTCTCTCTCTCTCTCTCGCTATATCCTACCCTCCCTCCCTCTCTCTCTCTTGGTGTGTGTGTGTTTTCTCTCTGTTGGTTTCCTCTCAGCTGATAGAGCCAGGCGTGCTTTGCTCACTCAGCAGTGAAGGCATACAGGGGGAAATAAAGGAGAGCCAGAGAGAAGGGGAGGGGGGGTTGCAGATGCTGCCGACTGATTGGCTAGAGAAAAGGGGGGTCAGCTGTAGTGGCTGAGGTCCTGATTGGCTGGAGGGAAGGAGTGAAAGGTGGAGGAGGAGGTGAGGGGAGCCAAGAGCCCGCCCACCTGCTCCTGCTTGGCCTTGTTCTGCACAAGTAAAGAGCACTTTCACCAAAAAGTGTGTGCGTTGCCAGCGTTGAGTTGTGTTTATCTCTTCCCACAGTGCACATGTGTAGCCGTGTGGCGCCTCGGAGAATAAAAAAGGTGCAAACGTCTGTGCAGTTCCCCCTTTTTCTTTGCTGTCATTCTCTCACACACACACTCGGCGTGAAACGTACACGGCGCCTATAGCCTGCACAAGCACAAAAGCACAAGGCTTATCTGCGGCACAGATACAGAATGAAGTGCATGTGAAAAAGTTTATCAGTTAAGTACCAGGAGCAGCCGTCAGTGTGTGTGTGTGTGTGTGTGTGTGTGTGTGTGTGTTTTGGCATCCGCGAGCCAATAAAGAACAGCATGTTGACTACACAAGACCTATTTCAAACACGGCGGTGTGGTTAAAGTACACACAGCTCAGGCGAGTGAATCACAAACTCGTATGTGCCGTCTCGCCTTGCGTTCAGGCGCTGGGTGGGGATTGCACAAGTTAAAACGTCGTGCACAAAACATTCTTGGAGCTGTCAAGAACACATATTTAACGCATATTTAGCACGCTGCTCTGCCCGAGCCCTCGTGTTAGAGGCGCCGCAAACACGCACCTGCCAGGTCGGGCTTTATTTTTTAACACAGGAAGCCGAGGTTGGCTCGTTATCAGATGCGTGCTGGTCGAGACACGTGAGACGAACCCATTGACAGATCATTGTCTCGTTATGTTTTAGTCACTGTCTGTCACCGTCTTTCTGCGACTCCTGATCTATGTCTGCCTCCTGCTCAGTTTCCATCTGTGACTCTCTGCGTGTGTTTCCAAAACAAGATGGAAAATTTATTTTTGCCAGTTGCTGCTGAGCTGCTATGTTATCTCTGTTACACAGAAGGATGGAGGGGGGACGAGTGAGAGTTTTGTAGAGTTTCTCCTTCGATAAAAATGAAAGGTCATGTGGTTAAGTGACTATAAAGCTCTCGAAAAAGTTATAATTTAATGATTAGAAAAAGCTATGCAGACAATAACAACACAATATGCAGGATTTAAAGTTATCTGCAGCCACCAGACTGAATGCTGGTGAATACCAACCTGCCCTCCACCAGCCCAACTGGATGGTGAGCATTCCAGTTATGAACCAAGTGATCAATAAAATGTTGCCTAATAGCACCAAATATTCATTATAATTTAGCTCAGCATGGGGCTTTGACGGTGCTTATTTCATGCAGCCACCAGTCCAAACCCCCAAAACATTCAATTAACTACTTTATAAATCTTAACATTTTGCAGCCAATGTTTGTATTTTTTGCTTAAGTGATGAATTAAATATTAAAGTAGTTGCTTGGTTACCTTTCTGCAATCAGCTAATTGATTAACGGACTCTGCATGTGCTCCATACACTCATGTGGACACAGGAAGCACTGACATGTGTGGAAGGACCTTGCACTTGTTTTTATTGAGTGTGTGCGAACGGTACAAGTGAGCAGAGAGGAGGATTGAAAAACAAGACACGTCTTCAGCTACGTACCTCCAAATATAGAGATGTGGGGAAAGGGGAGAGCGGGGAGGGGAGGGCGGTGGAAGGTGGAGGAGGAACCAAGAGAGACAGCAAAATAAAGTGACAGATGAGGATTGAAATGGGGCAAGGTTTCTGTTGTCAAACAGGCTCAGCTGCTCCCTTTGACAGCAAAGCTCGCAAGAAAAGCATCAGTCATGGTCCTCAGCAGTGTTGCACGTACTTTAACGTGCTTGTGAACACATAAATACACACACTCGTGCACCTCGTTTTCCCTTTAAGAGCCTGTGTTGGTTTCCATATTTGGAAAAAAGGGGGCGTGTCCTATCTGTGAGGACCCTCCCCCATTCAAGGGCACTCGGAGTGCAGCCGAAGAGAAAGATGCATTGAAAACACACATTCACTCGCATTCCATCAAACACTCAGATGCACTGATGCAACCCTGACACGAGCACATACCAGCGCCTGTTTTGATGTCTGTATGACAACTCCGGGGTTTTCAGCCTCGGCATGTGAAACGCTGTCTAACACATGTCTTGTTTTTCTAGGCCTCTCAAAGTGACACCAGCTGTGTTTTGGGGGGGGGGTGGGGGGGTTTACCCGTCAGCCCAAAACAATCGCAGCCTTCAAAACGCTGAAGAGCTTCAGTTTGACTCAACCGACCCAAAACCTCCTTGACAAAATCGGTTAGTCGCAGTTTTAAATAACCAGCTTGAAATATGGACAACAAGGTGCGAGGCAGCTCCTGTCTGGGGAGGGGGCAGAACAAAAGGAGGAGGAGAGGCTGAGGAAGGAAAGGAAAGGAAAGTGTGTGTTTAAATTAAAGAGGCATGGCCGCTGTGTGTTGGCATCTGTGTCTACTGGCAAGTGTGCACAAATGTGTATCGTGTGTTTTTGTTTCAGTGTGTTTACGAGGTGCATATCTGACGTGAACATCAGGAACGCTCCATTACACCCACAGCTAGTATCTACAAAGAAATTACAAACAATAGTACGAAGCTGACTTTTTCAAATCCATTTAAATTTTGTGATGCAGTCTACCGTAAAGTTTAAGTCAGTTCGTATCCTTAACAAGGTAGAATTATTGGTATCTTAATGAGGTGCCCTTATTTTTCTGTCCTGTCTGTTTTACTGCTTTTCTTCCACCAAAACAGGAACTGTGAAAAAGATTCTAAACCCACTAACATTATCTCACACCCAGATTTCACCCTCATTGCATAGAAAGCTCATGCAGGTTGTTTCCTACCCAGAGTGTGGTTTCTTTGTATTTACATTTCTCATCTGGTGAGATGAACTCTCCCTCGAAGGGGATGTTTGACCAGCTGTGTGTTAATAAATAAGCTCCCTGAGCTGAGCATAAGCATTTTGCTTGACTGCCTGGGGGAACCTGTGACTGCATGTGTGCACATTTGTACTTTGTTCATTTTGTCATCTAAGCAAACTAGCTGGATCTATTTGACCAATAAAAACAGATTGGTGGGATTGTACAATTCTATGCTTAACTTAGTAGGTGTGAAGCGATACGATGGCGTCTAGACAGACAGACTTGACATTCAAGGTTAAATAAAATAGCAGCTTGCAGTGCAAACAGAAGCAAATGCGTAAATGCGGAGCTATGCAGGAGTGTTCAATGACTCTGATTCAGCCACTCAAAAGAAGATCAGACTGAAGGCAGAGACTCCACAACAACAAAGAGCTGAAGGTGATGAAGAGAGTTCACCAGGGAAGACACCACAACTTCATATTTACATAAACCGACTGAATTAAAGATGAGAGCTGGCACGTTAATGCAGAATCAAGTATGGTGTATTTAAAGCACAGAGCAAAGAAAAAACTGTCTAAATTACTACTGGACTGCAGATATACACTCACCAGCCATTTTATTAGGTACACCTGTGAAATCCAATGCAATCCAAAATAACAGCTCTGCTATGAACCTACTGTTACATAGCTCTTTTGTAAAATGAACATTTTCGGTTTTGCTGATGTAAAAAATAAAAGGCGATCATTCTACTTTAAGGTCATTTTTTAAATGTGTGCTTATGGACTGGACTATTAGATATATTAGAATCACTTCTAAATGTAATGCAGTCCGGTACAGCACCACCACACATAAATACGGCAGAATCAGAACGCTTTTGTCAACACAAACTCAAAGTGTTTGTTTGAAAAAGTCAGTTCAGCTGTGTGAAAGCAGAATTTGTGACGGGGCAGTTGCATCGGCTTGCATCAGATTGCACAGGCTGGTGAAGGGTGTAAACCTACTGTATATAGAGTATTACACTTCAGCAAATAGACGCCGAAACACATTCCTAAACTAACTTCTGTTTATCAAATACGTCTCTGCATCCAGTTCTGCAATCACGTATACTAGTCATTTTTTTTTAATCCAATATACAGCAGCACTGTGAGATGATTTGATTCTGCAAGTGTGGAAACTTTCCCTTCTAATGGGACGCTATGAATACATTTCCTCACATAGATAATTAAAGTTCGACACCAATCCATCCATACGAGTTAACCATTATTTTCCGATGCGTATATTTACCCGGCGATCTCCATCTTCCCCCTCATGACATCTAAGCATTACTGTTACTGTTCCCTGATCTAATATTTAATCCTTGTGCTGACAGTAGTGGGAGTCTTCTCTGTGATTCTCATCTGGTCAGGAGGGTGTAGACAACTCAGTAGTTTGCTCACTTTTGCTGAGTGAAGAAGAGAAGGAGTTGGGATTGATATGCACAAGAAGACAGGCGAGGAGCAGAGTGCAATGGGAAGAAATGAAACTGCAGAGATGGGGAGGAGTGTGGCACCCTGAGTCTTGGTGACAGGCTGGGCCAGCTCAGCGGATGGAATGTTCCAGAGAAATATGTTGCCTATTCATGGAAGACAGGAAATAAAGCTCTCTCTCTCTCTCCCCACCTCTCCTCTTTTCGCCCCTGTCCTCAATCCTTCACTCCAAATTCAGCTGCATGTCTTCTTTTTTTTTCACCTCTCTCTCACTCTTCACCTCACTCTCCATGTCTGTTTTTTTTTTTCCTCCCATCCCCTGTTCTGGCCTTTGGGTGCTTCTTTCTGCCCATCGTCTTTCAGTTTAAATCAATTCCCTTTTTCCCTTTCATGCTTGGGAAACTCGCACAGCATGATGGTG